CCGACGCGTCCCTGGAGAGCCCTCACGCTAGGGTCCTGGGTATTCATTGCTTATTGTGCTCTTCCCAGAACCAGACCCAACTTGCCAAGAGCGGCCATTTCTTACCATTAGTGGTGATGGCGACTCTTCGCCCCTCGGGTCACCCGGGTTGGGGTCAGCCCTGCCCCTTAACCCTTTCCCGGCTTCGGCAGACCCTCCGAGTAGGGACCCTTTCCGCACCGCACACCGGGCCAGGCGCTTGGTGCCACCTGTGCCGTGTCTCTGCAGCTTCTCCCTTCATCTTCAAACTCGCCCCAGCCCTGACAAAGCCTGGGGATCACCAAGTACACGCGGCCCGAGTCAGTGCCGCGGACGCATCTGAGCAGAGCAGATGTGAAGAGTCGAGGGAGAAAACCAACCCAGTAGGAAGAGCATTCCTGCTGCCTGCCCTGGGTTCAGCTCTCGCCCCATTTCGTGCAGCATGGGCTGCACACGGTGGGGGAAGCCTGGGGAGTGTGGATTCTGGATCAGCCCGAGCCGGGATCAGTAAGAAGGCCCAGGTGAGGACCGAAGTGTGCCTTTCACGTATTGTGTTTGCACACTGAACTGAAATAAAACGTTTACAACAGGCACTAACATTTTTCAGGTCTCAAGTTTCAATCGGCTATTTTGAGTAACAAAATATACTTAACTGGTCCAGGCACACGGGGTCATTTCTACCTTTCCGTGTATTCTTTCTTTCTCACGACACAGAATATGGCTGGGGAAGTATGTGTGCCTGGGAGTTCATTTAAAAGACAACAACTTTGGGGAGATTTTCAAGCTTTTTTTGTCATCGCGCAGTGCTCCTGGGGTCACGTCCAGCCCGAAGGCTCACACATTCTGCCTGCCGTTGCATGGCGACCTGGCCCACAGCTGCCCTAACCGCCCTGCTAACATTTCCCGTTTTCCTGTCATGGTCACTTAATGTCAATACCCACAGCCTGCTTCTCAAGGACAGAGCGAACCCCCTGACCAGGGGCATCGCAGTGGGGGTGCTTCCAGCACTTGGGGTAAAGCTCACAGATGCTCCCCAACACCCTAGAGAGCCCAGGGGGCCCCAAATGGCACGCAATCCTCACGTCCACAGCTTGCTCTGCAGGAACACTCGTACCCCACCCCTGGAAGCAGAGCCGCAGGACCAGACATCACTGGATGCTGGACACCTCTGCAGGGAGGTGGCATGGGCCGGAGGCCGCGGCAGCCACACAGACGTCGCTGTGTCCCAGGCCCACACTGTGCGTCCCGCCTGCCCAGCCCCGCATCAGTGGAGACCACCGTGCCGGTGCCACCATCTGCCACCCTCACACCCTCTGACCTTCACTGTCCTCACAGAACAAGTCACACCCGAGCTTTGCGGCGAGGACCTCACCAGCTGCCAGCAATGGCACCGCATGCCACACTGCCCAGGCCAGGGCATGGTGACCGTGGAGCTGTGTTACCCTCACTCACCGGCACTCTACCAAGCACTGAGCAACAAGCAGGACCAAGGCTACAGGAGACCCAAACCCCACACGGGGCAGACAGAGGACGACGTAGAGGCAAAGACGCAGCACGGGCCGGTGGGGGAGCCACGCCCCAGGCACTGGGGTTTTAAGTGAAAGCAGCTTTCAGCCTGATGCAGCTCCTCGCCCTGCAGCCACGTGAAAGTTATCAGCAGGGCTTGATTGTCAGTTGTGCCCACCGGGATTCGTTAAGGAAGCACAGACCCCAGCTGTCCCCAGGCTGTGCAGCGCTCCAGAGCCGGAGTCTCCCGCAAAGGAACCCCTTGTTCATCCTCAAGGAGGATGCTGAGAACAAGGCCACTGCCTGTGCACTTGTGCCACATAGGCCTGGCCCTGGGGCCTCACCAGCCCCCCCAGCTGCAGGAAGGAGGTGCAGCTCTCACTTGCAAGGTGCAGGCAGGGCCCGATAGGCCACAACCCTGGAGGCCTGGCCAGGGTTTGTCACAGGACGCAGAGCCATGAGTCCAGGCAGGGAGCCTGAGTGTCACTCTGCATGGTCTGCGAGGGTGGATTGCGGCAGGAGTCACCCAGAGAACTCCTCACAGCTTTTCTTCCCCAGGACAGAAAAGGGCTCCGTCAGTCTCTCCCTCCATATGGGGTGCAAAGGGAGTCATTCCCATTGTCCTTGTTTCCTGCCAAGTGAGTGCCACCCCCACCCCAAAGTACTGACTGCCCTAGGCAGGGGAGACACGTGCCTTTGGGCTGCAAGACACGGAGACCTGGTGAGTGAACAAACTGTCCAGGAGAACGGGGAAGAGTTCATGTCTGCTGTGGGGCACTGACCAAGTTGGGAGCCGCGGAGAGGAGCCCAAGGCAGCTGTCAACACCACCGTCACCGTCACCAGGACTGCGAGCCTCACACTCACAGGGTCCAGTGAGCCAGGACCACTCTGAGGTGAGTCGGCCCCTCCAGGCCTCCCAGGAGCTCTGTACTCACCCCCACTTTGCAGACCTCACAGCTGTGATGCAGAGAAGTTAAACCTGTCCCCGGTCACAGAGCTGCAAAGAGACCGCTGAGAGGGACGGGGGCTGAGAGGGAACACCAAAGTCTCTACACACGGAGCCCAGAAAAGGTCCACGGGGCCACAGACAGCTTCGCGGGAGAACCGCCCCGGCCCTGGAGGACAGGTGTGAGGCAGCTTTGGGGATGGCTGGGTCAGAGGGCACCTGTGTGCGAAGGGGCATGGAGCTGCCCCTCTTCCCAGCACGCTGGGAGCAGCAAGAAGGGGCCCCACCACACGCTGGGTCCGCTGGCTGCCGGGTCCTGCCCTTCCAGGCCCAGAACTGCGACAAAGCTTTGTGGTATCTGTAAGACAGCCTCCCACGGTTCGTGTGAGAGCTAAATCAGCCACCCGCAATGGCGGGGTCCCCCTTCACAGCGCTCGGCTCACGACCTAGACACACCGACGACTGCCTGCCTGGGATAGGGCTGGGCCGTATGCCAGTGAGCCACGTGGAGAGCTCTGGAGAAGCCCGCTGTCCTTCCTGCAGCCCTGTCCCTGCAGAGCCCCTCCCCACACACCTCCCCACCCATGTCTCCCCCAGACTCAGGGACAGTGCCTCAGACAGCTCGCATGGCCCCCACCCTGGGGTGCAGGATAGGAGAAAGGATGAAGCGTTAACATCTGTGTGTGCATTTTTGTCTCTCTCCACCGCTATTAAAACTTGGACCTTGGGGTGGCAACGGCACAAAAAAGGTTCTTTGTAAAACTCGCCTTTGCTGACCTGCAGGCAGGCACTCCCAGAGTCAGCTGTCCTGGGGTAATGCACACACGCGTGCTGAGTGACTCCCGGGTGTGAGCCTGTGAATGGCAGGGAGTGTGCAGGCATCCGCACGCTCAGCACTGCGTCCAGCACAGCATGGAAACACACACCCCGGCCCACAAAGCGCTTTTCTGCATTGGGGAGACATTGCGGAGATCCTGCCGGCCCACTGCCTGGCCTGGTGCTTCTCAGCTTCTGTCCCACACCTCAGTTGGGACGGTGGCACAGGAGAGAAGCCAGGGGAAGCCAACACCCCCCAGTCCGTTCCTACCGTCTCCAAAAGCAGCGTTTGTAGGCATCTTCTCTAACCAGTACTGAATTTTCCTCTAAGGCACTTAATCTCAGAAATCTGTAGTTTAGGGGAGCTATGGACATACTGGCTTCCTGCACTTAATTTCAGGGGCTTGGGAACCACAAAGTATGGCCCCAGGAGCGGCACACAAACACCATTTGCAAATAGGTGGAAATTTTGCTTCTCACTGATCCTTCAATCAAGTGGCAGATGGGCTGGCTGGCTATGGCGGATCTGGGCTGGGCCTGAGGCCCCCAGGCAAGGAACTGTGTGGCCGTCTGCTCTGCTGACTTCGTCACAGGACTGGAAGCCCTTCCTTGGGGTGAGGGCCTTGTGCCACCTGCACTTGGGTGAGGATGGGCCTGCCTGTCAAGGCCCTGCTGTTGCAAGCCCTGCGCTAAGGGTGGATGGGGTTAACCCAGCCTGGAGCTGTGGAGCTGGTAGTTTGAGTTCAAATCCCAGCCTGGCACCAATTAGATGGGAGGTCTTGGCCTACACATGTGGCCACACTGGGCCTCAGTTTCCCCACCTGTAAACAGTGATGCTACCGAGCTATGAGGTTGCTTTGAGGACAACACATTTCTCATAAACCACCTTACATCGGTGCCCAGTATACAAGAAACACCCATAAAAAGGGGTGGAGACTGTCATTATCAGTGTCTAAGAAGTGTGCCCAGAGTAGGTAAGGGACTTAGCTGAGGTCACACAACAAAGGAGAGTCCAGGCGAGGCCAGTGCTTCCCAGGCCAGGGTGACTCTGCCCTTTGGGCACAGGCGGCAGTAACTGCAATATTTTTGGTTGACACATCCAGGTGTTCCTGGCATCTGGTCAGCCGAGGCCAGAACTGCTACCAGATATCCTGAAATGCTGTACATATTTCCCAACACCACATGAGAACTAATGTCCAACCCTCTAGGCACAAGTTCCCTTCGTGTTTTTTAAATCCCTGCCATTTGAGAAAAGGTTCATCCTCAGAGGATGAGGCTGCCCTCTCTTTTTTCTCCAGGAGCAGGTCCTCCACCCTGTCCCTCCCCACGCTAGCAGAGAAGTGGCTCCAACACGGTGTGGCAGCTAGGGTGGAGTGCCGACTCGACTGGGCGTGGGATCTGCTGGGGGTCACAGAGGGGTGGCCTTGGGCTTTGTCTCTGGTCCCTAACCCATTCTCTCTGCCACTGACCCCCGCTCTATTTCCTGCTACTGCGAACTAAGCAGCTTTGGTCCTCCAGGCCCTTCCGCCATGACGCTCCCGCCTTGGGGTCAGCTGACCAGGGACTGAATCCCCAGAAACTGTGAGCCAAGTTAAACCTGTCTCCCTCTAAGTCGATGGCTGTGAGGTATCACATCCGAGCATCGGAAAAGCTGACGAATACACATGGTTCTAAGCCTAGCATCTGGTGACACTGAGCCACTGCCCTCCTCACCAGAAATGATGGAGTCATTCAGTGCCTCTTCGTCCTGATATAAAAGCAAGTCGTCCTTGAGTTCAGAATTCATGATCAAGTTCTCCTTGTTCTCCTCAGACTCTTTAGCCGCAGTCCGCTTGTTCTCCAAGGCCCCGTCAAAGCTCCACGCCTCCTCCCTCTCCTTGCCCCGCTCCATGCTGGATGTTCTTGAGAGACGGACATCCACCCGCTTCTTGGGAGACCCCTTGCTTTCCTGCCCTTGAAAACTAAGGCAGAAAAACAGTTCGGGTTATACACCACTCCCTTCTCCTGGAAAACAAGATTGACTAAGAGGCCCACAACCAATATGGTGAATGTGGCCAGATAGACGTAGGTCCTTGGCTTGAGTTCCGGGTATCTGGGCATGGAGCTCTGGAAGGACCACAGGGCTCAGAGCCCCAGGTGAGGCACTGTTCAGAGACCATTCTACAAAGCACGGAACACACATGTGACAACGTTTGCCAATGCATGGCGAGCAGCCACACTCGGATGGGGGACTTAGGAGAGAACCACGGAAGGCAGTCTGTCCTCTACTGTCCCACCAAACCACAGGTGAGCTCTGCAGCTGCCACCACCAACTCCCCACAAGCCACAGTGTTCACAGTAAGGCAGTAGCCACAGCCACCCTGTGCGTGAGACCCTGGAGAGGGTCCTGGACAAAGAGGACAGCCTCATCTCTCCAAGCCACCCCTCTCCACCTCCCACCCCATGCCACAACCTGAGGGGCTGGTGCGGGGCCCCTGAGGCCAGTTTCCCACATGCACCTTCCCTGCCCATCCCTTCCTGCCATGTGGGTGCGACTTAATCTGGGTCAAAACATGAAGCCCTTGGTAAAAAATTTCAAGAGGGTGACAGCAGAGCTTGAAACCCAGGCTGTGGCCCTAGGGCTGGCCCTGGTGGTAACTCTGGTGGCACAGGGGTCCCACACTGGTGCAGGGCCTCACCTGTCCTGGCGGTGCTTCGTGGCCAGCGCCCTGTGCAGCTCCTCTATGACACGGCTGGGCGGCAGTGGCCGGTGGATGGTGGTGAGGTGTGGGGACCCCGTGGGTGTGGACAGCTGTCCTCGGAGGGCTGGGTCCGTGCTCTTCACCGCGGGACCTTGGAAGAGTGTGGCTTGGCCTGGACATGGGAACAAGGAGAGGAGACTTCACCAGGCCGAGGCCTCACTGAGAGAAGGGGAGCAGAGCAGAGCAGAGGCCACACCGCGTCCTGACCCACCTGGCCCAAGCGGAGATGCTGGGCTGGGCCTGCTCCAGAGCTAGACCAGGGCGTCTCTGTCGGGCCCCTGCCCTGCTGAGCGCTGCAGATCTCAGCGCCAGCGTCCTCCCTGCTAGGTCCTGGGCTCAGACAGATGAGCCTCCCCCACTTCTCTGCCTGGAATCAGCCTCCTGAGGCCGCACGGTCCCTGTGTGGGATCCAGAAGCCTCTCAGGAGTTCTGAGTCCACCCTTAAGACAGCACTGCCACCGCCACAGAGTTCCAACCCAGCCTCCGTACTCAGCAGGGTGGGGTCTCCAAGACAACCAGTCCCATCTCACGCTCCGATGTTCCTTAGGACCTGGCAGGACCCAGCCCAGCCTGGCTGCCCTGCTTGCCCTGGCTTCCCCTGGCTTCCTCTCCTCCCTGCTCCCCTACTCTCTCCTAGTCCTCGAAGGCCCCACACCTCCACTCTGGGCCTCTGCGTCCCTCTGTTGTTCCCCTGCCTGAAATGTGTTTCCCTCCCTCGGGGACACTGTCCCTGAGTGTCCCCCTCTTGCCTGGAGCCCCCGATCATGCCCCCCAGGCCTGAGGCTGCCTCTGCCCTGGGGACCAGTGACCCTGACACCCTTTCTTCCTGCTGGGGCTGAGTCACCGTTCGGTGACTGACTGTTTTCTCGCCTACCAATGAATGGGCCCTGGCCAGGTCCTCACTGCGGCGTCTGTAGTCCCGGCTCCTAAAACCTGTGCAACAAACGCTCATTTACAGTGTGAAGACAACTCAGACTCTCAGCAAGCCCAGCATGGCTTTGTCTTCAGCTGTGACCTCCAGACTCGGCCCTCCTCCGCCAGCATGCAGGACCCAGGACAGGTGGTGAGGGTCCTGGCGGCTCAGCCTCCTGTCTGTCGGGGCCCGAGGGCTCCCTAGGCACTCCATTCCCTCATGTGTCTCCACAAGGCCATTCCAACAAATCGACTTGCTTAAAGCCCCAATAATAAGAAGTGGTCTAAGGGACCCTCTCTCCCTAACTCACCGAATCAACCCTTCCCAACACAAGCCTGGATTATGAGCGGCACCAACCAGAAAGAATATACCCAAAGCAGAAGGGAGACTGTAAGTCTGGTTGAGAACGTCCATTATCTAGGTTTCCTCATGAGCCCCCGTTTGCCGGACAAAGTCAGGTCCTGCCCTGAACAGGTGGTGCCAGGTAGGGGCGAGACAGACAGAAAGAGCACAGAAATATTTCAGAGGGAGGGAGTGAGAGAGAAAACATGACAGGGGGGATGGGCTGGCATATAAGGGGCCCCCAGAGAGGGGACGCTGGGGCTCAGAGCTGAGACAGGAGGAGGTGGCAGCAGAGCACCCTGTGGCAAGAGGGAGCGCAACAGGGCCGGGCTCCGGGGGCTTCCCCTCCAGCCTCAGCTCCTCACTGAGGCTGCCCCTGCTCCAGACAAGGACCACACAGCAGGCACCCAAGATCCTCAGCATCACCCACCCCTCGGTTGCTGACCAGCACTGTGACACAGACACAGGGAAATCGAGCCTAGCCGGCTTTGGGGCGTCACTCGGTGTGACTGAGTGGGGACTTTGCCGGGTCTCTGCACCATGAGAACTGTGGGTGTCAAACACGCACCTCCTCTGCTGCTCTGCAGTGCCCCGCCTGCGAGAGGCAAGCACAGCACACCCAGCTCTCAGACGAAGCCCAAGGTTGTGCTGTCCCCTCGCTACCAAGCAGCCTGTCACCAGCAGGGAGAGGACGGGGGAGCCTGGGCTCAGCAGTGGGCAGGAGAGGAAGGGCCGAGACAGCAGCAGGCAGAGGAACACCTGCCCACATTGATGGGGCCCAGCAGACTGGAAAACTTTTCCAAAACAGAGGAACGAGCTGACTCCACCAGCCTGGCAGCACAAGTCTGTGCACAGCACCTGGTCTGAGACTTCCAACCCATGCAACGGAGAAGCACGGCGACCCATTGCTTTCACCAGAGTGGCTTGGGCGGATGAAGACCCATAGCCCGGGGTCTGGCAGGAGAGCGGCCCTGTGGAGACTGAGCTGTGCCTGTGCAGACCCCAGGCGGCCTCGGCTTCCTCTTCTCTGCTGCCATCTAAGGGCCACAGGTGGAAGTGAAGGTTTCCCGGGAAGGAAACGAACCTCAGCGAAGAGGCAAAGCCCCTGAGACCGGGGCCTCCGCAGTGCGGAATCTAGCTCACGGTGACCCAGAATTCACTGCCCCAACCATCAGTGACAGAGGAATCTCCTCACATCCTCAGGCGCCTCTGAGGGAGGGAGGGCGAAATCAGAGGTGCTGGCCACATCAGGGGATAGAGCCTGCCTCGGCCCAGTGCCCGCGTGAACGGAGCGAGAGGAACCAGACGGTGGGCAGTCAGGCCTGAGGCTTCCCAGCAGGACAGAGGCTGACAGCCTGGGGCTGCGAGGTCGGAAGGTCAGGGCCACCTTGGCCAGGGGACAGCCAGGAGGTGCAGCCTGCCCAAAGGGAGAGTAAGCTCTTTCCTGTCTCCCTGGGTAGAAAGGGATGGTTAGCAGGCTGGGAAACAGTATTGTTTTTGTCTCCAAAGTTCTCCCATTTGTGTGGCCGAGGATATCTGCCCCTCTCCAGTGAGGTGGACAGCGGAGCAGGCTCAGAGCACTCACTCTGTTCCAGCCGTCCGCCTGAGGGCTGCACTCAGGAGTGACAGAGAGCAGACAGGGTGCTGCCTGGGGTGCAGAGAGACGTGCATGCGTCCTGGGGCAGCTGTAACAACCACAGCCTGGATACCGGATGCTCATGGCTTAGGCCTGCACTCCAGCTGTGGGCAGTGGCCCTTCCGGGGATCACGGGGGAGGAAGCGGCCTCCTCAGGCCTCTCTCCCAGCAGCGGGGCTGCCTGGCAATTTGTGGTGCCCCTGGCCTGGAGCTGCATCCCTCCATCCTCCGCCTCCCTCTCCGCATCTCCTGGGACTGCGGGTCTCTGCAGGGACAGCTCCTCAGCCAGGACCTGCCTGACCCAGCACAAGGGCTTCTCCGCTTCCCGAAGTGTGGCTGAGCTACGGGGGAGACATGGGGGTCTCCGCCCACCCAACTGTGCTTCCCCTGCCTCCACCCTGCTGTCTGCTGCTCCTCAAGCTCATGGCAGAAGCCAGGAGGTAGAGGAAGAGGGAGAGGAGCAGAATGGAGCCAGGCCGAGGACGAGACGGGCCCCCCTGGAGGCCTGGCAGATGGTCCTCTGCCTCCTGCAGACGCCGTCCCACGCCTGAGGAAGACTGGCCACGTGCAGTAGGTGACCACAGGGCCTTGCTGCGACTCCTGCTCAGCCACCCCTGCCCGGAGCCCCAGCCGCAGAAGCAAAGGCGAGGACCAGTCCAGGGTGGGAATCCAAGCAACTGGCTGAGGGGTAGAAGGGCGGAGGGAGGGAAGGAGACGTTCGCAACACAGACCCACCTGTGACGTTTTTCACGGTTTTGGAGCTTGCCTTGGGCGGTGGCGTGGGCAGCAGCGGGGGACTGGGGAGCTGGCCCACGCATCTCTCCAGGGCTCTGGGAGGGCTGTCCAAGGAGCCTGACCCAGATAAGGCGTGAGGGAGCTCGTCAGGGGTGGGCAGGAGGCTGCCGGCGTCTGCTTCGTCCCCACTGGATGCAGAAGGCAACTTGGCTGGGTCAAAGCAAACAGAGCATTCAGAGAGGTGGAGGGGCCTGCAGGGAGTGGCAGGGCGGGAGTGGACAGGCCTGGGCCTCCTGGGGGTGCAGGGTCCAGAGAACCCTCAGAAGAAGAACCAGGGAAGACAGCCTGAGCATAGGTAACCCTGTCCCCTGTCCTCACCTGCAGCAGCAGCCGCCAAGACCACACTGGAGTCAGACAGACCTGTGCTCAAGTTACCTCTGTACTTACTCTGCAGCCTCACTTGTTACTAACCCTGTCTGTGCCCCTGTGCCGATGACAGGATCTCCTCGCGTGCTTCCTCATGTTTACACGAGAAATGACAGTGAGGTGCGTGCCTGGCCCTCGGAGGCCCCACCTCAGCACGATGGTGCCTGGTGAGGGGCGCGAATGCGGAGGGTCGGCTCCAAGGAAAGACAGTCAGCCCCCTCGAGTCCTCAGCCCTCGCCCTGTACCTCGCACACCCACTCCCAGCCTGTCTGGTCTTCCCTGCCTGCGACTGCTCCCCTCCTGTCACCTGGCTTCACCTGCAGTTCACAAGGGACACCGCAGGCTCAGTCTGGGGCAGGCGCTTCTCACAGCCCCAGCTAAAACCCAACCCCGCCGTCCTGGGAAGAAGAGCGGGCTCCCGTGATGAGCCTCCCCCGGCTCCCATCTTCTCCCCTCCTCCGCCGGTCCATCCCCCTGCGGGTGCCACCCAAAGCGGGGAGTCGAGCACTTCTCCAGAACAAGAGAGCCCCTTCCCCGGGCTTGGATCTGCACAGCCAGCCACACAGAGGCCATGCGAGGGCCACGCCTCCTCCCCTGTCCGTCTCTCGCTGTACCTCGCCTGTTACGTCCAGTTCTGGGACGGGTCCCATGAGCTCCACCGCCAAAGCCATCTCAGAAACCCCCGCCTGCCCGAGAGCTGCCAGCCTCACTCCAACCTCCCTGCACCCAAGGCCATTCTCTGGCTCAGGGCCGGCAGGCTTGCTGCCCACAGGCTCAAGCGGGGAAGCGCAGGGAGGCCTGACTGATGTGACAGCAAAGCCTCTCCTTGGCCCTTCACCTTCCGTGCAGCCAAAGCGAATGTCAGCAACCTGCCCCAGGTGCCCCGGAGCATGGACAAGCGGCTTGTGCCTTTGGTGTGCGGAGCCTTACTTGATATCATCTCGGTTCATGTAAAGAGCTGGGTAGTCAGTGGCCGCTGTACTGGACAGGGCACTGGGGCTCTGGGAGGGACTTGAGGGTCCCACAGCCACCGTGCAGCCACAGGGAGAACACAGAGCAGGCGTGGGGTGCAGGGAGAGAGACCTCAGCACCATCTCCCTGTCACTGTGTGAGGCTCCTGGAGGAGCACAAGATGGCCAGGCAGTTTGAGAGCACCTGTTTGAGACTTCAGAAGCAGCTCATCATGCAGGAGTACAAGAAAGAGTTACCTCTTGCTTGCTTCTAGCTTGGGTTGTAGAATGTGCTTAAGTCCTGTCGCTTTGTGCTGTGTGACTTTAAAAAAATGGCTTACCCTCTCTGGACTTATTTTTTTTTAAAATGGAGTTGTATGAGGCTGTACAGTGCATGTTCTTCTGGGACACCAGTGAACACCACTTAAGGAGCCAGGGGCCTTAACCTTATCCTTGGTGCAGAATGTCACCCCCAGGGCATCTTGAGGTTTCCTTGAACTTGCCAAGGTCTAGCAGAGAAGCCCAGCCCAGGCCGGGCACGCGCACTCCCGTGTCATGTCTGTAAGTCTGCAGTTAGGTGATATCTGTCTGTCACAAAGTTACCTGCAGCACAGAGGGACTGGCCCAGGCATGGGCAGCTCCCGTGGGTGCTGAGGTACAGGGCGTGGGAAGAAAATAAGTGACAGCAGCCCCGGATGAAAGTGGGCCCTCCCCGCTCTGAGGGGACCTCAGGCACCACTGCCCCCTGCAGGGGCCTCACCCTTGTGCAATGACGTGGGCCCACCCTGGAGGGCAGCCGCTGACAGCACGGGCTTGACCCTCATGGAGCGGGGCAGACGCGCCCGAGGGGCTGGGCCAGATGCCCCCTGCAGGATGGCCCTGCATGCAGTGAGGCCCTCAGCCTAAGGTGTGGGCCCGCAGACAGGTGAGGGTGCGTTTAACACGTGTAGGGTGCCATCAGCTCCTTCAGGAAGGGCCTCTGTGGGAGGCCAGGCTTCCTCATGTATGGGGACCCCTGGCCTGCGGTGCGATGCTGGGGGCCCCACACCCTGGAAGATGGGCCTGCATTTGGGGAGCCCCGTGCGCTGATGCACCGCTCTCCAGAGAAGCTCCTGGGCCGGGGTGACGGCAGCCGTGCTGTCCATGTGGCCCATGCATGGGATCGGGCCAAGAGCTCGGGGATCAACAGTTCCATCCTCGCGACCCCAAGGTCAGTGTGACCACATCTGCAGGCTCGGGGTCAGTGACCTGTCTACGCGCTCACGGCTCAGCGAGGACTTCAGCCACCTTCCGCCCAGGCCAGCTAGTGTCAGAGGCGCCTGTCGCCCTGGAGGTCCCGTCTCTGTGCCCATGGGGGTCCCTGCCTGTGTGCTCTCTCCTCACGGGAAGCGCTTCTGTCCAGGTCTCTGTCCATGAGCCAGTGCGGGTTCAGCACTGAGGACAGTGCCCACTGCACCCAGTTCAGCACCCACAGCACTGGGGAAGCACCCCCAGCACCCAGCAGCTCCTGTCAGCAGCGGGGCAGGATCACTAACCGGAGAAGCCAAATGTGTCCTGATGGACTGAGCCGATCTCTCTTAGAAGCCTGAAGAAACTGGGCTTTGGGCTCCTCCTTTAGATACTGTGGACACTCCTCTGTTTGCTATATTTCCCTAAAGGAACTCACACTTTGGTTACAATTCTGGGGGGAGAAAAAGAAAGTCTCTGCCATAGTCCCGAGTGAGAATCCAACACCCTCCGGCGCTAGTATCAGGAAGAAGGGCTGCATTCATACACTGTTTCCCAGTAACTTCTGCAGCCTGGATGAAGTCATTTCATGGCCCCAGGGGCTCAGAACCCACACAGGAGGCTCCGGATGCACAGCCAGGTGAGCCTGCATCACCTGTCCTGCCTGCCTGCCGCCCAGGCTCTTCTGCAGGTGAGTCCACGGTGCCTCCGTGCTCAGGGCCGGAGTCCTTGCCCAGCCACCTCTCTCTGTCCTGTCCCAGCTCTGCCATACCTGGTCACCTGCAGCTGAGCCAGCCAGCCCGTGGAAACTCACCAGCACACACCACACACAGCAAGTACACAGCTGCATGGTGGCATCAGATGCCCAGGGTGATCTTTCTCTGGATCTTCCCAGGCCAGTTCTGCCACCCCACTCCATCTCAGCACCTGCGTGCCCCTTCCTGGGCACCTTCCCCCGGCTCTCTGCTGGGCAGCTCCTGCTCTCCCTCAGGCTCGACACCCAAGTGGCCAGAAGGATGTGCTCCACATGCACCCGCAGCAGCCCAGCGTCCGGGCAGTGGCTGAGCAGAGCGAATACTGTGTGGGACAATTCCTCCCGGAGCTGATCAGAGAGCCCACCAGGAGGCAAGTGCTCTGGAGCACCAGGGGCAGCAACACCACCACACAGAACGCCCGGTGCTCAAGTGCGAGGGCTTACATGGCGGGCATCAGGAACACAGCAGCTGTCCCCGCATGTGGGGTCAGCAGGGCTGCTCTGAAGAGCAGGACTCTCCCCGGGCCATAGAACTTCTGGTCCCATGTCCCCACTGTGTCCCCCAGCTAAGTGGAGTGGCGGGGTAGGCCCTCCAAGGGAGGCCAGCAGGCCCGGCAGCAGTCTGTTAGTCCTCAGGGAGGCTGTGGGTGGACAGCAAAGGACAGTGTCGGCGTGACCCTGGTTGAGCAGAAGAATGCACCGCAGGGCAGACCGGCACCTGGCTCTCCACAACCCTGGAAGACACAGGGCTCACGTCTGGCCCCGCCGTGCCCAGCATATCCTTGGCTTGGACGTTCAGGAGGAGGAGGCGTGTAGTTCTATGCATGTTCTCAAGAAGACTGTTAAGGTCCCTGCCCATGGGCCACAGGGCGAAGGGTACCTCGAACTCCCTGTCGGGCCATTTGTGCTTTTCTTTCTCGCCGTCCTTGCCCCATCTGTCAAGAGCCCCGGTCCACTCTATGAAAATAAAGACCGCTCCACCCACTGCCTCCAACAAGGGCGCCTCAGCTTTGCAGGCCCCGGCTAAGTCCTTCCAGGCAACCCGACGAGGGTCCCTAAACTCTCCCACGTAACAGGGGAAAGGAGGCCAATCTGCAGGACGAGAGGACACGGGAAGAGCCTTCCTGAGTCCACCGCACATGTGGCCCGCAGGGAAGGGGCCACCTGCTGGCTCCTCACCCCCCACTCCCTGCTCTGCTGCCTTCAGGTCCACTGAAATCTGCCCTGGATACACCCCCAGGGCCTCCCACCTGGAAGGAGGGTCCCAGTGAGAATGTAGAGCTGTCACAGGAGCGACACAGGGCACGAAGTCACCCAGAGCCTTTAGCACCTCAGTCATCAGTGGCACCAGACTCGGAATGAGACAGAAGGAAAACTTCCGGCAGAGGGGCAGGCCCACACCGCAGGATGTGGACGTCCTAACAAAGCCCAGGAGGAGGCTGCTGTCCAAGCCCAGGGCCGGCACCTGCTCCCACCCAGCCCGGGGCCATGCGTGAATGGCCCGGCCTGTGGGCATCCAGCCAGTACCTGCATCGTCTGAGAGGGTGTCTGAGGACCGAGGCTCATCCAGGGAAGCCTGATTTGTCCCAGTGGCCGAGGGGCTTTCCAGCTGGACATCTTCTGAAGCCTCGGCCTCCTGCTTGGGCGTGGATGGCTCGCTCCGTGTGGATCGGGGGCCTCCACTGGGGCTGCACACTTTGCTTTCAGCATCTACAAGGGAACACAGTGTCAGGTGGGCCTTCATCTCCAGGACTCCATCCCGGCCTGGTGCGGCAGCTGGGCCCCTCCCCTCCCAGGCCGAGCCTGGCGTGCTGCACACCGAGGGCCCTGGCTTTGACCGCACACCCTCCTGCTCCCTACTGTGGGACTAAATGGTGATCTCCACGCCGTGTGGCCCCCACTCCTGCCCCCAGCTGCTTCTGTCAGCGGGACCTAAGTGGCTTCTGTAGTACTCTTGCGTTCGCTCCTGCGCCCTCCCATGGATGGGCCAGGTGGCTGCTGGGGACGACAGGAATGTGGAGCAGGGCCAGGGCCACCTGGGAAGTGGCACAGCGCTGGCCGCCGGGTACCCTGAGGGGCCGGGTTGTTCGCTACACATTGTTACCACGCAGCGGACATCACGCCCATCTGCACCCAGCAAGCACTTCCGAGCACCAGCTGTGCAAGGCAGGGTCAGAAGACAGCACCGCTGGCTGGCGCTCTGAGGTCACAGAGGGGGCTGCTGGCACCTGAGCCCAAGCATGGCACAGCCGACAATGACGGGGCAGCGCCTGGTGGTCCCCAGGCTTCACCAGGACAGCTGGGGAAGGGCGGCTGCAGCCTCTGCAGTCCCAGCCTTTGGCTGCTCCCCCGTCAGCCCTCACCATAAGGGCAAAGCAGGTCGAAGGGGGACAGGCCCAGGCCCAGGACTCTCGGCCGGCTCGGGGTGAGTGTGCCCTCACGGGCCCTGCACGCGACATGGAGGTGGACATCACGGCTCAGATTGGCCTAGGGCGTCCCCACATCCCAGACACTGCCTGGGTGCGCACCTCCCCTCATGGCAGGGAGCCTGGTTTATGTCAGGTCAGGGTTTCCCGCTGCCCAGGTCAGCTCTGACCCCTGCCTGCTGTCTGTGTCTCCCAAGAGTATCCCTTTCACTGCCCAAAGTGTTCTACCTGGACAGAGAACTCATGGCCTCCCTCCTGTGCACCCCACCAGCAAACCTCTCTGGGTCCCCATTTCCCCCTCTATAAAATGGGGATGCGGAGCCAGTCTGGAGGTGCACACCCATAATCCCAGCACTCTGGGAGGCTGAGGCAGGAGGACTGCAAGGTCAAGTCCACCCTAGGCAACTTGGTGATTTAGCAAGACTCTGTCTCAAAATAAAAAGGGGGGCTGGAGACATCATTCACTGTGAAAGCCCCGGGTTCTATTCCCAGTGCCTCCCCACCCACACACAGGGAAATGCTGTTACTTGTAATGCTGTGGCATTCTGGGGAGAACTAAGTGAGTAGCAGAACAGTGTGGAGCAGCACAAGCGTCCCATGTGTGCTGTCACCAGTACTGTTGAAAATGACGCTTTCTGATGAGGAGGGGGGAGGACGAGGGCCCCTGGCCTGGCCAGCGGGTCCTGCAGAAGCAGCCAGCTCAGGGCAGGTGGTTTCCGCCCTAGACCTGGCACCTCGCTGGTCTCTCCTGGGTGCTTGGGGAGTGGGCTTGTTGCTGCCTTCCCTCTCCAGCACCTCCAACTGCGGGGGGAAAGGGAGCTGGGCAACTCCGCCAGAAGACTGAGATCCGCACCCAAGACCGGCTCACCCAGAAACCACAGGGCCAGCCTGGGGCCTTGACAAGGCCAAGGCCTCTGCGCGTGGAGGAGCGGGAGCAAGCATCTGGCCTGGGCGGCCATCCCTGAGCTCCTATCCCACGAGCCCTGGATGTGTAAGCAGCAGCCAGGCTTCAAGGCTGTGCAGACTCAGCAATTGAACCTGACTCTGCAACCAGCCAGGCAGCCCGTGACGCAGGCTGGGCCTCACTAAATCGGCAGGATTACGGATGTTGGAGCCGCTGGTGCTGTGCTCAAACTCACATTCTTGTGTGACAGCGCCCACTGCTGGCTGCCTGGACCCGGGGTCATGGGCACTGGTACTCTGGGCAGCTCACGGAGCACAGTGCCAGGGGAACAACTCTTTTTTACTATAGCTAGTGATGGTAGGTGAAATTCCTCAGGTTATTTCAGAAAATGCCAGGTTGGTGCACACAAGGACACAGAGGGAATCATTCAGGGGGTGAGCAGGGTCCACAGAGACTCACAGGCTCCTTCTTCCTTTGGGTGCTGGGCTGGGAACCGGATGGAGGGGTGGGGGGGGTCCTGCCCACCCAGGGGCCTCTGTCCCTCTTGGTCACAGAGGTTTCAGAAGAGGGAGACAGAGCAGAGAAAACAGCGGGAAAGGGTCACTGCCATCCCTCCCCACGCGTGGCTGGTCCCATCTTTTCATCCCATGATGCCACAAAGAAGATCCTGACGTCCTGGCAGGTGACCAGAAGTGCAGGAATGAGAGGGGAGAGGGCATCACAGCCTCAGCAGCCTCGAAACAAGGTTGTGCCTGGACAGCCTCATCTCTCTGGCGACTGGTGGCTTTCTCCTGCCCCCTGTGCGGAGCCAGCCACGGCTGACACTCCAGGGTGACAGGTGTGGACGAGAGTATACTCATCAGTGGGGATGTGGGGAAGTGCAAAGCCGAGGCCACTCCTGGAGTTTGTTCTCCAAAGGGGCTCATTTTCAAGTTCTTGGGACTGCTGAGCACACTGGGCATATTTCTGGGTCTGCAGCCAGACCCCTGTGTCGCATGAGCGGCTGCCCAGCTTTCAGGCCACACCGCAGGTAGGCGCAGTGCAGGCGACAGGCCACACGGGGGCGCCCGCAGCTGCAGATTGGCCTGGGAGGGTGAGGCCTGATTCCCTAACTCAGGGTGGCGAACTATGGCGCAAAAAGATGCTAATGTTAATGTTTTTCTAAACAAACCCCTCAGTATTCATGTTTAATGGCAGTGTTCGCACTTTCTGGCCTGCAGCTTGGGCGCTCTTCTCTGGAAGGTTCGCCATGACCGCAACTCCCCAAGACTGGTTGTGGCCTGGGGGTGTGAGGGGAAAGGCGGGTGCTGAGCCCAGGGGAGCAGCGGCCCTCGCTTCCCGTGCCCTCTGAGAAGTCGCCCAGGCTAGGAAGGGGCAGCTGTAACATCTGGCAAGACACCAGTCCCCACGCGAGGGAATGCACAGGGCAGAGCCTGACTTCCAGGAGGCGAAGCGGGAAGCCAGTTCCGGCCAGCATTTCTGCACGTTACTATGGCTGCAGGGTGACCAACGTAGTGGACACGCAGCAGGGCACTCTGGCTTCAGGCTCCTCTGGACAAGCTCATCAAGCGCTGATACTGCTGACCGGGGCCCGGAGTGGCGGGGCAGCACGGCTGATCCTGATGTGCGGCAAACTCAGCTGTGCCCCTGCCCTCCTCGTCCCCCACACACTCTCCTGGGCTGTCAGTCAAGCTCTGCCGCGTGTTCCTAGGATGCTGCGGGCCCTCATCACGACACCTTCCGTGTGCTTTTGCTCTCACTCATGGGCCTGCGCAGTGCCTGTGCCCCGTGTGGCCCAGAGAACAGCGTTTTGCTCACCCGAGTCCTCAGCAGCTAGCGCAGACCCTGCACACAGGGGGCGCTCAAAGTCTGCTGCGTCCTCAACGAGTGCAAGCTCGGCTCTCAAGGTCAGAGCCTGCTGTGGGCCACTCTGGCTCATGGTTCCTCCTGCTCAGCAGGAGAGAAAGGAAGGCAAAGGAGGGCCAGGCACCTGCAGCCAGAGGGCCCAAGCCAGTTTAACACGGGCTAAACAGTGGAGATAAGGGTGGAGTTAACATCTTTAAATACTTGGGTGGGGGGGTCAGAAGGAAAATACTTCCTGACTCATGAGAATGACTTGAAACTCAAATGTCCGCATATATAAATAAAGTTTTATTGGCACACCGCCATGCCTGTTCATGCACAGCCCATGGCCGCAGCGATGAAGGCTTTTCCTTCCAAACTCAGGCAGGAGGTTAACCCCAAAGTCAGGTTAATAGTTGTAAGGGGACGGAAATTCAAATGTGACTGGTGTTCAGAGGTATCAGGTCTAGAGGGTGATTAGGGTTAGGTAAAGTCATCAGGGGAGCCCTGTGGTTGGCTCTGGTGGCTCTGTAAGAATCGAACCTCCAAATCTGTGAGCAGTCTTCTTTACAAGTTCACCTACCCTGGTCTGTCTTTATGACAATGAAAAGCTGACCAAAGCAGAGTCCCCCCAAAGGCTAGATGTTCGCTGTCAGACCTTGGCTGGCAAAGGGTGGCCAGCCGTTACCCAACACAATGCTGTAAGCCAACAAGCACATGAAGCCTGGGACGGAAGGGCCACCACAAGATAGCACCTCCTGCTGCCCGCCTGCATCAGGTCCACACCGGTCTCTGGGCCTCCATTCGACAGTGCCCAACAAAATGACCTTAAAAAAAGAGTGGAAAAAAGCCAAAACTCGCTATTCCCTGCAGTTTTCCCCTTCAGTTATTCAGACTATTACTTCATTTATTTAGACAGGAGTTGAATGCACATCCTTACTTCCTTTTTACTCATCAGAAATAACATTTTCAAGTCAGGCTTTAGCATTGTTTCTATTTCCCTTTCCTGCTCCTTAAGATTGAAAATAAAGCTTGTTGGTAGCATAATCAAAAGGCCAGGGCTTGGCACTTTGGGGTCTTATTGAAGTTAAAACAAACCACATTTCTGTCTCAGCAGTGACCAGGATCCGACCAAACCCAAGTCAGAACAGAGCACCCCACGTGCAGATGCCAGGGACCTAATGCAAGCTGGTCAAGGAGGAGCTCCCTCCTGGGGTAGGAAACCATTTCCCATGGAGGTTTCCCTCCCCCTGAGTCTAGGAGGAGAAATGGAAGAGCTGGGCCGCATCTGGGCTTCTGGCACAGGCCGGGTGCCCCAGCTCACCTGCATTCACTCTGCAGCCTTCCTTCCTAACGCCCGAGCCATGGGCCTCGCTGCCGACACCCGGACTGTTTCAGGAAGCAGAGGAGATAGAAATTCGATGAGTTCCGACAGCCTCAGGGAGCTGGCCTGGAGGGGCCAGAGCCACAGATCAGGAGGCAAGAGGAGGTCAGCTCCAGAGAGACTTCTAAGCAACAGTGGGGTTCTATGAAACCCCCAACCTCAGAGAACCAGGCAACATGGGGGTTTGTGTCAGGGTCCAAGTCCAGCGCCCCAAGACTGGAATCCGTCACAGAAAGAGGCAGACAGGGGGTGTCCAGGTAGCTGTGCTGGTGACGACAGGGGGCAGTGGGCACCACCAGACTAACCCTGCTACCGCAGATGGGATCCCTATAATCACCCCAGTCCCCCAGCCCCTGCCTATAAACCGCACCCCAAAGTCAAGGTGCACGGCCCGGCATGACACAGCTGAAGCCACACGGGAATGCTGGGATTTGGTGGAGACAGAAGTCTGAATAATTTCCCCCAATCACGGATGAAGACATGAATATGGAAAATTTTTTAAACCACAGCTACCAACCTTGGAGGAACTGGATCTGCGGGCCCCAGATGCTCCTGGACAGAGCAGCGCCCTGCCGGTGCCCACCAGGGGGCGCCCTGACCCTCCCTGACAGACCCTGGCGCCCAGGTGCTCATTTATTTCCCCTCCTTCGAGGCTGAGAAGCGTCCAGCTCCACACCTGGCCCCAGGAGCCTCCAACTTCCGTCCTGGCCTCTGAGTTGATCCGCGGCCCTAAGGGCCCGGTGCCGTCCACTTACCCTGCTCCATCATCTCCAGCAGCCCCTGCTTGATGAGCTCCTCCCGGCCTTGCCTGCTGGCCATCTTCTTCTCCAGCGCTGTGGGATGAGACACCCGCGTGAGGGAGGCGGCAGCCGGCGTTGAGAACCCGGCCATGGGGGAATGGGCGGGGGCACAGCGGGCTGGCAATTCCGAGCTTCCCAGTAAGCAACCAGCTACCCGGCATGTGAAGACAGCCGAAGTCACCTCAGGGACAGGCACTGGACAGGTACTGGACAAGGAGCGACAGGCAGCCCCACGCCCCTGCCCCAGGCCCAGCTGGCCAAATGGTGTCCCGTTGCTCCTTCAGAACAGCCCTCCTGCCCCTCCCTCCCCGGAGGGCAGGGTCCGCTTGCTTCCTGGTCCCCTTGTTTTCCGTTTCATTTGTGTGCGGGTGAACCCCAGTTTCCAAGTGCAAAGCTAAGTGCTGCCTGGGAGTCTCTGAGCCATCACAGTGCTGCAGCTAAGCCAGGTCCCAAAGCCCCCTTTCTCTCCAGGCCTCCAGGACAGGAGCCTGAGCTAGAGCGATTGGAGGAGGCAGCTGGCAAACGGGAGGAAGGAAACACCTTAATTTATTCACAAGTGCTGAGCACCTGCTGCATGGCTCATGCTGTTAGGGCCTGGCCCTCTGGCCTCCTCCAGGCCTGGCACACTGGAAGTGCCTGGGGACTCCTCAGTAACGAGGCTTAATTTGTTTTCATTCTTGGCAAAGAGAATTGGTCAATGGACTTTCTGAGTGGTTAAGAAATTTCATGAAGTGTGCACTAAAGTGTAAAGTGAACTTGTGGCTGCCATCACCACCCCACCCTTCAGGGCCCTGCTGTGGGCCCAAGGGCTTCCTCTGTGCCACCTTCTGGGCCCTGGAGCCTGCGCCTCTTCTGAGCTGTGAGGAAACAGGGCCCTGCAGACCTCAGAAGCAGCAGCAGAGCTTCCCAGGGCCTGCCCCTGAGGCCAGGCTGGTCCCACAGGAGCAGCCAAGGCCTTGCTAATTGCTTCCAGCCACAGCCAGCAGAGGAGCAGCCAGTGTGCAGCCCTGGGCCTGAGGCTGAGCTCCTCTGGGCTGCTCCTGAGGGCGCCGCCCTGTGCAGAGCCCAGGGTGGTCCATGAGTGTGAGTTCCTCCTTCGCTGCTTCCCCAGCCCTAAGCAGCGCAGGGCCTCAAGAGACCCCTGTCACTGCACAAAGCACCCATGTGCCCAGGCCACCAGCGTCTTCGGGCCCAGCGCTCGCTGCATGGCCTCCTGGTGTCCATGCGGCATGTGGCATGGTCTCACGGCCGCACTTCCCGAGGGATCCCGAGGAGGCAGGGACCCGGGTGTGAAGATGCAGCCTCCTGAGGGAGTGTGGACCTTCTGGGTCCTTGGTGGGAGGCACGGGGACAGGGGAAGCCAGACAGAGCCAGGACTGGGAGCAGGCTGCTTCCAGTCACCCCCAGGAAGAGAAGCCGTGACCCTCAGAATCTGCCCAGGGTGCTCTCTGGAGTGGGGAGAGCTGGGCCTCTCAGGTGGGACCGAGTGAGGCTCTGGCATAGGAGGGCACTGGCCAACATCCTCCCCGTGCTGCCTCACTGAGTGTGGCCGAGGGGCCTGGACCCAGACACCGCAGAGCGGACTGCCCTCCGGGCTGCCACCTCTGGCCCGGAGCTCACCTGACGTCGTTTGCTTCAGCTTTTCATTCTTCTTTTTCCTCCATTTCCAGGGCTTGAAGATCCGGCCCAGGGTGGCCAGCTTGCTGTTCCTCCTCGCTGGGGGGGTTCGGATCCCTGAGACCAGATACTCGGAGCACGCTGGGGGGGTTTGGTCCATCTCATCTGCAGGACGAGAGCCACGGGGGGGGGGGGCTCAGTAACCACCAGGGCCCAGGGGAGCCCCTGACCTGGGGCCACCACTGAGTCCCCAAAGCCTGAAGCCAGAGTGGGTTCTCAGACTGGGGACGCTCTTGGGCTCCTTCTGACCAGAGTGCACACACATGCGCAGGCTCGTGCATCCCTCTCTCTGCAGCCCTTTCCCAGCTCTGCCTCACTCAGGGTAATTTAAGGCTTTCTGACCCCAGGACCTTGGCTCATGGTGTGTCTGACTCCCATCTGCTCTCCCTCCCAGTTTTTCTCTGTCTTGCAAAACATCTGCTCAGCTAAATGTTGCTGCATCTAGGAAGGCTTTATCTGCCCCAGACAAAGCCAGGCCTTTTGTAAGCCATTTGCAAGGGCACCCTGGGCACCAGCCAGCTCTCCAAGGGCAGAGTGCAGGCCTGGCACAGACCCGGACCTGGGGACTGCAGGCTAACAGCCCCAGCCAGCAGCTGCAGGGAGTCAGCCCACGAGCGGACAGGGAGAGGCCACTGCTGGTCGAGGTAGACGCTGTGGCCACACGACGGGTCCTGGACAGGAGAGCAGTGACCGAGCCTCTCACAGGGCACTGGCCTGGAGCCATCTTCCTGGAACCCGGCCTGGGTGAGGTGAGAAAGGATAAAGCAGGCAGGATGTGGCCCTGGGGGAAGCTGTTGGACACAACGACTAATGACCATACATGGGGTGTCCGCGCAGCGCTAACACAGGGCGGGGGAGGCCCGGAGCCGGGCATTTTTCTGCAGGCTGCATTCTGGCATCTGACATTCTGACTTTGTTAGAAAGTCAGTTACAGCACAAAGCAGGGAAGCTACAGACTGTAGGAAAGATCCCATCTACCACCCGGCCCCGCCAGCCATCAGGTGGAGACACTTAAGGCTCTGATCCAGCTCCAGGGTCCGCTGGCCGGGTCTCATGTGCACACCCACACCCCACTCCAAGCCGCAGGTGGCCGGAACACACCCAGTTCCACACCCTGCGATCCATTCACCTCACTGCTTCCTGAAGAAGGGGCTGAGAGCCGGGAGGCTGGAGGAGCAGAGCCGGAGAGGAGCCAACAAGAGGGTCACCAGTAGGAAAAGGTGCCCAGGTCCCAGGGCCAGGAGCCTGCAAGGAGCAGGACCCTCGGGCCCCGGGGATGGACTCTGCCTGTTTCCCCACACAGCTATCCCAGCCACTCCAGCCCTGCAAGGCCAGGAAGAGGGCCCTGGATGGTATCCAGGCCTCCATGGGCAGGGGCTCTGTGCCCAGACAGTGGGCCTGACCATCGGCTTCTGAGAGTACCCCAGGGGGGCCTCGGAGGGGCCACTTTGTCCCCTGAGCCTGTTTCCCCACCTGTGAACTAACGGCTGGAACCAGCCCCAACAGGTAGGACAGCGAGGAAGACTCGGGTGGCACGGGGTGGCCACAGGGCCTGGAGACGTGGTGGGCAGCACAGCATGAGGCGATTGTCATGTGTCGCCCATGTACAGAATCGCTACGCGCACAGCCGGTGAGCACAGCTGACCTCCCGAAGCTTCACCATGGTGCTGCCTCTCACAACGGGACCAGGGCAGCACCATGGGGAGAGCACTGCTCACGCCAGGCCTTGCCTCTCACGCTGCCCTCTCGGGGAGTCTGTGAGCTGCGGCCCGTCCATCCCACAGCCCCACAAGCCGAGGCACGGCACCATGGGCTGTCTTCATCGGCCCCAGAACTACCGATTCTGGGGGCAGCTGCATCCCCCAGAGACCCCTCTGTTGTGTCTGGGGAGATGATAAATTCACCACCCAGGCACAGGAAACCTTCGCGAGCCATTCAGGAACATGTGTTAATGACTACGGGTCCCACGTCCACCATGGCCCTGGAGGCAATGCCATAGGGAAGCCATCCTACGTGGTAGGGGCTCCAAAACCACAGAAGCAGCTCTTCCCCTCCAGGGACCTTTCTGGAGGTGTTGAAGACATCACATCACAGCAACACATACTTATCCATGTTCACTGTAACAACTCATAAGAGCTGAATCTGGGAAGCAGCCCACGTGTCCATCAACAGATAAGTGCAGAATGAAGATGTGGTATTTAGAGACAATGGAGTACTACTCAGCCATAAAGAAGGGTAAACTTGAGTCACTGTAGGGAATGGGTGTGCCTTGAGACCGCAATGTTAAGCAAAATAAATTAGACTCACGGGCTTAAGTATTGCATGGTTTCTCTTGTAAGAGAAACCCAATGTGTAAATAATTTAAAGAACAAAAATAAAGGATGGGCAATAGGAATCGGGGGCTGGATCTTTTGCAAATGGGAAAGGGATCTAGAGATGGAAAGCAGGGGAGCGGGGAGGGAGGAGTAAAAAACCCAAGCTGTTACGCACATGCTCCCCCTCCCCACTGTGCTCTGTGAACATGTATTAAAGAAAGCATTAACAATAAGACGTCACAGGGATGCCACTCTGCACCGTGTCTCCTGGGGTCCCAGAGCCCACGCTGGTGCCAGGAAGCAGAGGGCACAGGGTGGTCAGACTCTGCTGCCCCCAGGCCCTGCTATGCCCACGGGATGCAGAAGGCCCTTCTCTCTCCAGAGCAAGCTCCTCCGTTCTTCCCTCCCCCTCCCTCCTCGCCCACGATGCCAGCTGGGAGTAGGACTGCCAGTCCGCGGCTGCAGGAAGCCGCTCTCCTGGAAGCCTTGGCCCAGCAGGACGAGGTGGTCCACGCATCCCTGAGCAGGAGATGCAGAGCTGGCACAGGAGTGATGGTGCCCAATCCTGCTTTATTTATACCTGCAGGGAGGCTCCGTGGCTATCACTAGAAAGACACACACTGCACTGGGCCTTAGGGGTCCATGGGGGAAGGAGGTCTGCTGGGTCCCCCACAAGGGACACCACGTGGGCTCCAGAGGGCACCTGCATGGCCCAAGCTTCCTAGCAGCCAGGACAAAAAGGGGTAACACACAGAATCAATACATGTCAGAGCCCAAATCTGGCTGTTTGCTGCCTGCTTCACCTGCCAGCCTGGGCAAGCCACAGGCATCCCTGTGCTGGAACACAGAGCACTCCTGGGTCTGTGGGGCTCTCTGCATCCCCATATATGCCTGCTACTTATTCATGGGAGTCTGAGGGGCTAAGCGCTCTTTCCCCCACACCTACCGGCTCCCTGTCTTGCTGGGGGCAGGGTTGCTGCTCCTGCTGTGGGACAGAGGTGGGCTGGGCCAGGGCCACCTCCTCCCACCGCCACCACAGCTGTCCATCTGCACCAGCGCCTCCTGCCCTCACGTTCTCTTGCTCGGTGGCCAAAGCAGGTGCTGGGCCCCTCCTCGGTCTCTCACACACAGGGGTCCTCAGAGCAGCAGCGGAGGAGCCGAAGCCCCTAAAGAGGCCAGAGGGAGCAGGCAGGTGTTGGAGCGGAGGACAGAGCGGGTGCACAGGGCCCTGCCAGCCTCTGTGCGGCTCCCTGAGCGCAGGGTCCATGGCCCAAACCAGTCCACCCACGAGCGAGCTTGGCTGCATCCGCTGCCAGCCTGGAGCCGCAGTCCCTGTGGAAGCCAGAGACCCAGCAAAGGAGGGGCCCCGAGGTCTTCAGTCTGCTGCACCCAGCACCCAGGTCCAGGCCAGGGCCCCGCCGCTCCCTGCCCGGCCCTGGCCAGAGATTCCCTCCAGGAACAAAGGCTAAGAAGGTGCCGAGCCTTGGAGTGGGTGGGTGGGCGTCACCCAGGACACCCAGGGGCAGCGGTGCCACTGAGCCACTGACTGTGTCCGGGGTTGGTGAGTGGGGGCCAAGCGTGTGAGCAGAGGGTGGGTGTGCAGACCTGTGCGGAGGGAGGGGACACACGGGACACCCGGCCCAGCCCTGGGGCCACCCCGCACCCTCCCCAGAGCCACTTGGGGAGATCCCCGGAGGTGCAGACACAGTAGCAGGCCCCTCTAGCCTCCTAGCAGCACAGCCCTGCCAGTGCCAGGGCACGGCTGTCACCTCACAGGCATTAGCGGCTAATTACCCAGACACTTCCACACATGTGCAGCCGCAGAGGAAGCTGCGCCTCCCGGGACTCCCGAAAGATGGGTGGGCGGGGCACCCACTGGTCCTGAGCTCTGCAGGTCCCAGGATCAGACACAGGTGGCCCGAGCCGGTCCCACAGCCCAGAGAGGTCCTCACATGGCCGGGCTCCACCCTGATTCCCAGGCCGGGCACAGGCCCACCCTTTGCTCACAATATTCCGTCCCCCTCAGCTGTCACACGGCTCAGCTTTCCTGGCTGTCCTCTGCCTTTGCTTCATGGGGACAGGCCCTGCGCCCTTCTTTATCACCAGGCCCCGCCACCCTGGGCCCTGGCGCTCGACACTGTTCAGATACCCGTCCCTGGTTTGAAGTCTGGGTGCAGCGCCACTCCGGGTCGATGCCCGGTCCTCAGTGAACTCGGGCAGTCCTGCTCCCTCCTCACCACCCAGCCGGCTCTCCCTGTGCCACCCTCGCCTCCCTAAACCCAAGGGCGGCAGAGGCTGGGGCACCTGTGCCGTGGCCCAGCGGGGGCCTCTTAGGGACGATTGCAGTGAGCGACCCTGGGCACTGATCTGTTTCCGGTCTTATTTCACCCATTCATTCGCTCGTTCACAAACTCGGGCATCACACGTCGCCACGCTGCGCTGTGCGCCAGGCCGGCTCTGAGTCCGAGGGAAAGCAGCGTCGGCACCGGCGGTCTCCCTCGGGGTTAGCGCACACCTTCCGGGGGAGCAGGACAAGGCGCTGGGGTGTGGGCCGCCAGCACGTGGCCTCCACTTTGGTTGCTGGGTTTCTGTTATGCGTCCCTGTTTGCAGGAGCGGGACATGAGCGGTACGAGGACCGTGGGGCCGGCACACGACGGCTTTTTCCACCCTTGCCCGCCATCCCTCCCTGCTCCTTCCAGCGCTCAGGCCCTCACCACTGGCAAATTCTCGCTCTATTTCTGTCTTTCCCCCCCTCAATTCTTCTTCTCCACCCCTTCCCTTCCTCTCCC